AAAACCAAAAACCAACCAGCCTTTGAGGCAGTCTAACTCTGGCAGTCATGAATCAGATAGGGTGAAGGAAAAAATGCTATCTGAGCCAATGGGTTTCTAACATGCCATCTCAGTCTGGACTTTAACATGTCTATGAATCATGTGGGTATATTCGTAAAATGCATATTCTTGGGTCTGGGCCGGGGCTTAGGATTTGAGATTTCTAAAGGGCTCCTACACAATGTTCACGATGTGACTGGGCCATGGTCTATAGTTTGGACAGCAAGAACCTTGACCTTTCTGGCCTTGGTATCTTCTGGCTCCTATTGGTTGAAAAAACTCACTAAAATCAATTTTGCCTGATGGTGGTCCAACGTAAGCAAAATTTAATGTGGTGGTAAAGAGCTCACCCCTGACCAGGGCATATTACAAAGGAATTCCAGTACTTTCATGCCCTGAATATTCAGCAAAATGTGGAAGGAAAAGGAAAAGGGAGGAAAGCACAAGAGAGACAGGAATTCTCTGTCCTTACAGAAGCTTAAAGGTCTAAAAAAAAAAAGTTTGGAGTCCCATATTCTTACCATATTGAACCCAAAAGAAAACCAGGCACCAAAACAACTCCAGAAACAGAACTAGAACAAAACTAAAACAGAGCCATTGATTTTTTTCAAACATCTCTTGGAATCCAAAATGTTGGAGAAAGGAGGAAGGGTTTTCGGGAGGAGAAAAATCATATTGTCAGCGCCCCTGTAGTTAATGCCTGCTGAAGGCATTAGGAAACCAGTAACTAGGCTCTCTCTGCATTCAACACTAGAAATCCAACTATAAACCACAGGGCAGATTCACTCAATAGGTCACAGTAACAAGACTCCTTTGTTCCTAATTTCCAGACTTATATAATTACAGGACATATATGAATTAAGGATGCCTGGGAAGGATACATTTACTTTCTTTCTAATGAAGCATTTGCACCTGCTCTTGACTCTATCAAGGAGGCCCATTCCTATGTAATATCCACTTAAATAAAATGGAAAAGAGGATACAGGTGTGCTCAGATACCCTTGCACCATAGCCCATCAAGGTTACAAGGGATCATACACCCACACTCTCAGACCACAGAGGACTCTGAGGCCAACATGATTTGTCCAACTTCCAGTTGAGGGAACATTCTACCATGCCAGAAAGGGAAAGTTATTTACAGAAGAATCACAGAAGTTCCATGGTGTCTGGATTTGGATTCTGCTTGGCCCAAAATCAGAACAACTCATTTACAATTCCTCTGTCTTCTCAATTTGCAAGCTTCGGGGAAAGAGCAAATGACCAAAAGGGGAAATTTTAGCAAAAACACATACTTCCTCTGCAGTGACTGCTTACAGGAAACAGTAGATTCTCTGGAAAAAGTACAGAACCTGAGAATCCAGCAACAAATCACAGTCCCAGCGACAGAATGGGGGTCAAACCACACAACTGTATGACAGGTAAGAAGCCAACTTCTGGCACCTATATGAAAGATTGTGCTTGCACTTGAAGGATATTCTTTGTATTGTTCCAGACAACCATAGCCAGAAGCAAAAACTTAGACCTGCCCAGCTGGACAAGAACCTAAGAATTAAGATAAAGGAAAATATCCTCACAAATGAAAGGTCTGTAACAGGGTGACCTGTTTAAAAAGTTACTCAATGAAGACAAGAGAGCAAGACAAAGGGACTCATACTCAAAATCCCTAAGTGCAAGAGGAAAAGGAAAATGTTTTGGACCTCTTACTCCCCCCCCCCCCGCCCACTACCAAAGATTTCTTGGGCAAGTGGATTTCTCCATTAAGATGCAGACAAGTGTGATTATGGTACTGGCTTGAACAATAAGCAAGCTCAATAAAGGTACACTGGAAAAGCCTGAACTCTAACCCTCCAACGGCCAGGCCCTCTGTGTGGACTTTGCCCACCCCTAAAATAGCACCATCTTTGAAATGTTAAATCCTAAGTCTTGGCCACCATCTCCCACTATCCATCCAACTCTTAATTCTTCCGTGGCCTATACCAGCTCTTCAGTCTCATTGATCCTGTACTCCTCTTCTTCCCTCCCAGCCAACCCCCCCTTGGTGGCTTCTCTATCTATTCTGGAAAGACTCATACTGAGATTCATAGTGAATCCTTCCCAACCCTTCCTGAGAGCCCCAATGTCCTAGGTCTGTCTCTTCCAGCCCCACCTGCCCTATTGCCAACCTTGGATCACTCCAAACATTCTTCCCCTTTATGCTTTCTACCCCGGTGCTGTTGAGCACTGACTCAGAAAGTCACCATGCAGGGTCTGCAGCTTCTCCTGGGATCCAGGGTCTCATGCAACCTTTTCATCTTCCGCCACAGCTATTCCAAACCTTCATCACCCTTACCAAATCCCCATCACATCCCCAACTTCCTGCCCTCAGCACACATTCTGGCCTCCTACTTCACAAAGGAAAATAAAGCCCTCAAAAGGGTCAGGCAAGATTCCCTGTGCCGATGAATGGATCCAAATTTGTATCCACCCTCCCTCCATTTCCTCTAGGGAATGTAATCTATCCTCATGTTTGAGGCTATCCCACCACCAAAGCGATCCACATCCAGCCTCTCACCCCTCTTTATGACCCAAGACCCTGTCTCTCCCCAGAGCTTCCTCTCTCCTGGTATTCTCAAACTCTTTCAACAGGTACCCTTTGTACAGCTTTAGAATGTGCCCCAGTGCTGCCACACTTGTGGAAAAAGCAAAGTTTTCACTGATCTTCCATCTTTTCATGCAACTGCTTCATCTTCTCCACCAAATTTGTCAAAGAAACCACCTCTGCTTACCCCTTTAACTGCCTCTTTTAGCTCACTGCAACCAAGCCTCTCACTCCTCTAACCATTGAAAATGTTCTGGCAAAGGTTACAGGTCACCTACTAAATGACAAGCCCAGGCTCAGTGGACACTTTCCAGACCTTACCTCACGTGAATGCCTTACTACTTCTTTCTCAAAATTCCCTCACCCTGTTCTAGCCCTCGCTCTGGTTTCTGTGTCTCTCCCACTATCCCTGCTTACTAACTCCTGCTGGCTTTGCTTCTTCCTTTGCTATGACTTAAGGTTCTAGTCTTCTTGCTCCTCATGCTTGGGTAGAAGGTCCTTACCAATTCCCATGGCCTTATCTCATGGATGGACAAATGGACCCAGAGCAACCAAGTCTTTTTCTAACCATCTCTGGGTCCAAGTTTCCTAATGCACAGGTACTTTATTGCCTGACTGATCCTTTCCCACAACTTCCAAGTCGCCACAAGGGAACCACTAAGTCTCAAGAAGTTAGAAAGGTTCAAGATGCAAGACAGAGGAGGAAAGAATGGGAAAATCAAGAAAGAGCGGGATTACTGAGGGCACAAGGACAAGGCTTAGCTTTGGAAATAAGCTGTTCTTCTGAGGAAGAAAGCCTGTATTTATTGAGTGCCTATAGATGCCAACAAGGATGAAGGACTTGCATATAATGGTTCGATTTAAGCCCACAATAATCTTGTGAGACAGGGATTATCATGCCTGTTTTACAGAAGAGGAAATACATGCCAAACAAGGTTAATTTGCCCAAGGTCACAAAGCTAGAAAGTGCCAAAGTCAAGATTCAAGCCCATGCCAGCTCACTCCAAAGTCATTGTCCCTAAGTCATGAGAGAAGTAAAAGCAAGGAGAAAAGAGAAATGGCAAGGTAGAGAGAAGGGAAAATGAGAGGTCTGACGAACTTCTGATTATGAATATGAGTAGAAAAAAATGTCACACAATCTGACCCAAAAGCTTGGTAGAATATTGCCCAGTGCCTTCCCATCACCCAGTCTTCTTTTTCTCCATAAAACCCAGTAGTCACCTGGATTCATAGTGTTTCCCTTCTCACTGCTATTTGGGGGGGGGGGGGGGGTTAATGTACATGTTAAATCTCATTTGTGACCTTTTATTTTATTAAATTTTGAGGGAAATCTAAACAAGAAATGGAGATTCTTTGTGCCCCTGTTTTGTGACTTTTGACTGTCTTTCCTCTTCCCTCACCTTCTCTCCCCCTCACTTACAGTGATAAGGCCATTTTATACACTCCATTCTTGCTTTAGGTCTTGGCACTCTGGGCATTCAGCACTGAAAACAGACACTTTCTGGGCTTTTGGATATATTTTCCTAAGGCTTAGTCTTAGTCACTCCCTTTCACCTTCACTGTTGACTTTTGAAAATTTTAACCATTTCTATAATTTGATTGAGTTCTTATGGGAGAAGTAGAGGACGATGAAGTAAGAAATCATAAATTTATTTCCTTGGCTTTTTCTCTAAGCTTACTACTATTATTTCCTATCAGCCAAGACAGTGATCTCTTTCTGTTTTGCTTAGCTTTGGAAATGGAGTATGAAAACCAGCAAGAACTACATTGGACAGGTCAGAGACACCTTGTGGGTATATGCGATAAGTGCATGAATTGAGGGTGGGCTGAGGGCATGGTCTCTGAGGGAATGACCATTGAAAACCACTTCTCTTGCAAGGTGACCTTCTTTCGGGGATGTTGAAACCTAAGAATTGAGGTACCCTCTTTAAATACTAGAATGAGAAGGGAAAATGATTCTGACCAATCACATCAAAAGTACAATGTTAGTCCAACAACTTCTGACTTCTAAATTTAGCTTCAATTAGCTGTTCAATAAATACCTCTGTAGTACAGGAGTAGATAAAAATTTACCTAAAGAACACTAGGTTGATGTTCTACTGTTTTTCTTTTTGCCTAATAGATGTATGTAACTAGACCTCAAGATTTATCTCTGTATCCCTCCAGGCCCTGTTCAGCCACAAATTGGCTGGGAAATCCACATTTGTGCCAAGAGAAAGTAGCTTTCTCCTCAAGCTTGTATCACAGAAAAGGCTCCTTCCTGCCCTGGAAAACTTATGACCCCACGTCAAAGTGAAATTCATACTGAAGAGTGGAGCAAACCCCATAAAAACCACATGTAGGGGTGGGGGTTTGATGAACATTGGAGAAATTAGATCTTAACCTCAAGATTTAATGGGTCTTCAGACACACACGGAGAGCAGCCAGTGCTGTGTGTCTGAAGGGTTGAGTGTTGAGAGGCTTTGACAGGCTAAAGGACAGTTTAACTGAATGGAACTTTCATGAAGTCGAGGTGCCACTGCAATTCTCAAATCTGGAGGGAGGAGCCTTGGGGGGCAGGGCTTCAGGCTTTGCTTTCACATTCCAGTGAACACATGACTCTTTTTCCATAGTCACTCCTCTTTTTTTATTCATCTCCCACTTGATTATAAGCCACTGAATTTATCTCAGTGCCCCTGGCACATAGTGGGCAGTCAGTGAATAGTAGGGGAAGGAAGGAAAGAGGGAGGGAGGGAAGGGATGAAGGAAGGGAGGGATGGAGAGGTGGAGGGAGGGAAAGAGAATAAGGCAATTGGAAAACCTACATATAGACACAAATGAAACACGTTTAAAAGAGCAGAAGAACTTTCTCAAGGAGATAACTGAAAGACCCAGAAAATTTGGTGGAATTTATGAAAAATTCAGTGGGCTCAGTTCAACAGAGAAGAGGTTGCAAATGTCCCTAGGGGCCAAGACCAAAAGAGAAATCCAGAAAACGGCGTGTCCCCTATTCTTTATTCCCATGAGTGTCAGGGCCAAAAGTTAGCACAAAGCCTGGCACATGGGTTCCCTAAAAATGTCCTGAATGGATGTGAAGCTCATCTCTAAGGCCCTTTCTAGCTCTGACATTATGGGACTCTGCTTTTTAAGATCTGTTGTGGCTGGCAAATCACTATGACTCCCTCCACCACCCCCCCCTTCTTGGTCCTGGCAAAACAGAGAAGGGTAAAATTGCAAGTAGGAAGATAGAGAGAAGTAGAAGGGAAGTTGGACCTCAAGAAGCAGCCACATTGTTCCAGCATGCAGTGGGGGTGTCCCTGTATTGCTAACCAAACCAATGTTGTCTCAGAGAAGAGCCAAGATGGAGAGTCTGCCTCTTGATGACCTATTTGTTTGATGGCCTGTACAACAAAACTCTGACCCACATTTCCCCCATACTGGAGCCCTCCATAACCTAATTCTGTGAAGAGGAGGGCTAATTCCCAGCTTGAGCCGTATTTCCATTCTTTATTCTCTTCTGTTTTTATCGACAAAGGATTTTGGCCTAGCTGGCCTCATCTAAGGATGAATGATTTCAGGAAACTTCTCTGCACCTTTACTAGACGGCACACAGGCAGTAGTAGGAAGAATCACCAATGCGTTTTTGCCCGTATTTATTAATGGGCAATGAGGAAGGGAGGGAGGTGGGGGGGGGAGAGGGAGGGAAGGGGGGAAATGGGGAGGGCAACAGAGAAGAATGGAGAGAGGGAGGCAGGAAGAAAAAGTGGGCAGGCAAAGTAGAAGTGAAGGGAGAGAGGGAGGGAGGAAGGGAGAAAGTGAAGGAAGGGAGGAAGGAAAGTGATGAGGGAGCATAAGGCAAGCTGACAGGCTGCAAACAATCCCTCCCCCCAACCCAACCAGGTGGGACCTGTGTGGTATTCCTCGGGCACTCCAGGCTGCCCAAGAACAAAGGAAAGGGGAAAAACAAATGATTAACGGATAGTGATCATAGCCCTACAGGAACTAAGTGTCCATCACCTCTACACAGTGGTGTGGGAAACAAAGGCAGAAGGAAATGGCAGATAGAACTAAATTTCCTTATAAACTGCAGCCCATTGACAATTACTAGAGGCGGGCAGAGTAAAACCTTTCTCCAGGCACTTCCTACTGTCTGAATGTTAGTGTTTTGCTAGAGGGGGAAAACAACCTTAGTCTGACAATAGCTAAGCCTCCAGTATCCTGAAAGTCTTCTTTAGCGTATATGAAAATCTCACTGGAAACTTCCCCTGGACTTTACCTCCCCCTCCCCCAGTCTCTCCTCATGATATCGGGTTGGGGGGGGAAGGGGGGGCAGCTCTTCCTGCCCATGGGTCCTGTCCCCATGCTTTAATAAAACCACCTTTTTGCACCAAAGACGTCTTCAAGAATTCTTTCTTGGCCGTAGGCTCTGGACTCCATGAACCCCACTATCACCCCAAAAAACCTCATCAGGAGGGAGGGAGGAGGGGAGGGAGGGAAGAAGTAGAGGAAGGGAGGGAGGGAGAGAGGGAGGAAGGGAATTTATGCAGATACAGATGAAATAAGAATTGAAAGGGACAGCAGCCCCTGTCTCAAGTCCACATCTTAAAAAAAAAAAAACAAAAATAAAACAAAACAAAACAAAAAAACAGAAAATGTTGTTGAATTCGTTTCTGAGAAAGAAGAGGACACTGAATCAAAGTTCCAAATAACTTGGTTTGGATCTCGCTGCTTCTATTCCCTACCAAAGTGAAGAAGCCCCTTTAACCAGATGGTCAGCTGTGTGAACTCTTGCTTTTTCTACCTGAAAGGGTTGGATGCATTTTATAAATCCATTGCACTATTCCCTCACGTGGGTTCACGTTCCCTGACAAAGTTGTGATTAAAACCTCCTCTGAGGCATACCCCTTCCTCACGGACCCTCAGTACTCCCCCAACAGCCTGGAGGATAAAGTCCAAGGTCCTTGACATGGTATTTGAGGCCATCACGAGCCTCGCTCTTCCACGTTGCCATCTTGGTCTCTCCATTCTTTAAAAAAAAAAATTAAAATGTTTATTTTTGAGAGAGAGCTAGAGCACAAGCAGAGACAGGCAGAGAGGGAGACACGGAATCCAAAGCAGGCTCCAGGCTCTGAACTGTCAGGATAGAGCCTGACGTAGGACTCAAGCCCAGGAACTGTGAGATCATGACCTGAGACAAAGTCAATGCTTAATGGACTGAGCTACCCACGTGCCCTGGTCTCTCCGTTACAACAGCACCCACATGGCTCATCCCCACCTGTGCATCTGTGTGCTTTTACTAACAGTTTTGCTCTATTTGGAGCCCTCACTTGGGCCCCTCTCCAGGCCAACTGCTACTCAGGCTTGTTCCTGAAGCCTGCTAGGACCGCTACCTGTTCATCCCCCCAACCCCCGCTACGTGGCAGCTGGAACCCCCTTCCTGGGGCACACCTCTGTCATTGCACTGATAACATTCTATGACACTTATCGGCTTCATGGATTTCACCCTTGACATGATAGTGTGGTCCCCTGAGCAGGTCCATCATTGGATCCCCACTTTTGAGCACCATGCCCCGCACACAGTAGGCATTCAATAAATGTTGGGTGGAAGGGACAAGTAATGATCATCTTCTCTCCACACTTGAAACCCAGATGGAAAAGAAGATGGACAACAAAGTTTGAAGCCACTCTTGTTTGTTAATCCCTCTCTCCGGCCTCTTAGTAGGTGCCTATTTTGTGCCTTTTTCTCCTAAGACCCTTGTCTGTTTCTTATTCCCCTTTGTCACTTTAATGGCATGCCAGCTCCTGTGTGCTGGAAGCCTGGCAATAGCACTCCAAAAAGAAAGTATCAACTCCCAGAGATGGCCCGAGTTAGCTGGGGACGGTGAGAGGCAGGGGGCCGTCCCTGCGATCTATTCCTAGGAACTCAGAGTTTGTCGGTAGACAGCGATGTCCGTTTCAAGTAACCCAAGGCGAGCCTGACGTCCAAGTGTGGGTGCCACAACAGGAATATTGGGTTGCATTCTGGAACCCTCCCCACTCAAGCTGCAGATGTGCGGGTGAGAGCCGGAGGCCCGTCTCTCAGGATTACTATGGAGAGGACCTGGGCCCTGTGAGGAAGATTGGAATCAGTGACTTCCACATTCTCTACCCCTCCACTGGCTGCTCTCCATCTTTGAGTGTGGCTTGGAGAAACTGCAGGAATCTCTGTCTAGGGCTGTGCTTAAGACCCACTGTTTCATCCCCTCCCCTTCCTTCCCAGTAGGCGCACTGGGAAGACACTGGTTCTACACACCCCTTCTCCAATCCCAGAGAAGCATGGGCATCTTCCTCCCCCAGGATCTTGCAAGGTCCAGCCTCTGAAAAGGAAGTGAAAATCGGAGTTCCAGAGAATGACCATAACGTAAAAGAATGAACATATCCACCCCCCAGCCCCTGCTGATATACACACACGGCGTATATGACTCTCCCCTAGTTACTTGAGGCAGTGTGGACAGCAGCAGGCTTGATGGCGATATTTTCAGTGCCTTTGGCACAAACCCACCCAGGACCTTCCCTTGGATCAGTGAAGCATCAGTAGCCCAGGACCTTCTGGCATCTTCCATGGCCTGTCTGCCAGTCTGATTGTTGGCAGCAGCCCAGAGCACTGGCACAGCCCAGCAGCTGAAGAGGGAAATGAGGAGCACTGCATGAGAGAGTCGCTCTCAGGATGATCTGAGAGGAACTCAGGGAAGGTCCGCTGCAGGCAGAGCCTGAGAAATACTGCCTGTGGCTCTTGCTGCAATTCTCACCCTCTGTTACACCGCACTCACCCCCCCCGCCCCGTGTGATGGAGGACCCCCCCACCCCCACCCGCCAGGAGTTGTGTTGCATTCAAAACAACTGGACCAAGATGACTCCTAAGAGTCTGGGAGTAAAGGTGAATGATAATCCGGATGCAGGAAGACATCCTAATAGGTGGGACTGGCAGCAGTAACCACCCTGGCAATGCCTGCCTTGGCGCAGAGCCTCCTGGCGGGTGAGTGAAGCAGAGATGGAAGCCTGCTGCTCAGCAGCAGAGAAGGCAGAGGACAAGAAGTGGCGAGCCACTTTTTTTCATAACTATCTATGACTAGCCGGGAGGGTTTTGCTGGCCCACATGGACCCAGGATACAGGGCCTCTGAGCATGCAATGCAGCCCCGGGGGGCGCGAGGGTGCAGGCTCTGTGTCCCGCAGGGCAACTGGATGCCGCATCCCTGCTTGTCACAGCCCTGCCTGAAGAAGGGCGCAGGCTCAACTTGAGTCTGGAGTCCTGACCCCTATCTTGCCCATTTCTCTGCATTATACCACCACCACCACCCACCCTCCCAGCCTCCAGGAAGCTAATGGGATGGAGCTTTTAAACCAAGAAACAGAACTGTATACTTTTGCAGAGCACAGAAATTGAACTCCAAAACACACAAAATTAATAATA